AAAGACCGTTGATTGTGTTTTTCTTAGTTATGATATTCACAACGTGGGTTATAGATTTTTAATTATAAATTCTAGTGTTCCTAAGATGGCTGTTGATACAATCATGGAATCTAGAAACGCTACATTTCTTGAGAATGAATTTCCTATGAAAAATGCACCTAGCACGACTAGTCATGAATTTGTAATCCTCCATGAGCATAAAAAATTTACTCTGATAGAACAAATTGAGGAAGCCAATATGCAAAATCCTGAGGAGGATGACATTATAGTCACTAGAAAAAGTAAGAGACAGAGGACTACAGAGTCTTTTGGTGATGACTATATTGTGTACCTTGTGGATGACACACCAACGACCATTGAAGAGGCATATTCCTCTCCTGATGCTGACTTATGGAAGAAAGCAGTACGAAGTGAGATGGATTCTATTATGTCTAATGGAACTTGGAAAATAGTTGATCGTCCCTATGGGTGCAAGCCTATAGTGTGTAAATGGGTGTTCAAGAAAAAGCTTAGGCCTGATGGTACTATCGAGAGGTACAAGGCAAGACTTGTGGCCAAGGGTTATACTCAAAAAGAAGGTGAGGATTTCTTTGATACTAATTCACCGGTTGCTCGATTGACTACAATTCGAGTTTTGCTTTCTCTGGCAGCCTCCTATGGTCTTATCGTTCATCAAATGGAAGTTAAGACAACTTTCCTAAATGGAGAGTTAGAGGAGGAGATCTATATGGATCAGCCAGATGGGTTTGTAGCAAATGGTCAAGAAGGCAAGGTATGTAAATTATTAAAGTCATTATATGGCCAAAAATAAGCTTCTAAGCAGTGGCATAAGAAGTTCGATAGAACTCTAACATCTATTGGCTTTGTTGTGAATGAAGCTGATAAATGTGTGTACTATTGGTATAGTGGGGGTGAAGGAGTTATTTTGTGCTTATATGTTGATGACATACTGATCTTTGGATCCAGCCTCAAAGTGATTGAGGAGGTGAAGGAAATTTTATCTAATAATTTTGAAATGAAAGATTTGAGAGAGGCTGATGTTATTTTTAATATCAAGCTTCTGAGAGAAGGTGATGGTGGGGTAACTCTGTTACAATCCCACTATGTGGAAAAGGTGCTGAGTCGCTTTGGATTTAGTGACTATGAACCTGCTCCTACACCTTATGACTCAAGTGTGCTATTGAGGAAAAATCGGAGAATAGCAAGGGATCAGTTGAGATATTCCCAGATCATTGGTTCGCTCATGTATCTTGCTAGTGCAATAAGGCCTGACATCTCATTTGCTGTGTGCAAATTTGAGGCAGTTTGTGTCAAACTCGGGAGATAATCACTAAGCGTGCTCTTGAGAGAGTGATGTGCTGTCTAAAAGGCACTATGAGCTATGGTATTCGTTATACCGGACACCCGAAGGTGCTAGAAGGCTATTGTAATGCCAACTAGATCTCTGATGCTCATGAGCTTTATGCCACAAGTGGATATGTGTTTTCGTTTGGAGGTGGTGCTGTTTCCTAGAAGTCTTGCAAGCAGGCTATCTTAACAAAGTCTACAATGGAAGCCGAACTCAGAGCATTAGACACTGTTGGCTCTGAGGCCGAGTGGCTTCGTGATCCCCTTATGGATTTACCGGTTGTTGAAAAACCCATACCGGCTATTTCTATGAACTACGATAACCAGACTATGATTACAAAGGTTAACAGTTCTAAGGATAACATGAAGTCTACAAGGCATGTTAAGAGACGACTAAAATCTGTCAGAAAATTGAGAAACTCTGGTGTAATAGCGTTGGACTATGTTTACACGTCTAATAATCTGGCAGATCAGTTCACTAAGGGTCTGTCACGCAATATGATAGAAAGTGCATTGAGAGAGATGGGTTTGAGACCCACATGAAATTTACTATAGTGGTAACCTGTTCTATGTGATCGGAGATCCTGTGAAGTATGATGGTGAAACAAGCTAGTAGTAAATTGTGAGGAAAGATCCTTAGTAAGACTCATTTCTGATGAATATCTTTTCTTTCTGTAAGACAGGTTGGTTTTTACCTTAATGTGTTCTAAGTGGCTTGCTAAAACAAAGATGTTGCCCTACAGAATATCTTTTGAGGAACACACCTATATGAGTCAGACTGCTGGTCATAGTCTATGAGATTTGGGTGATCTCTAAATACTCATGAAAGACACTGGAGTATGACTTATATGCTTCAAATAGAGGGGATGCCTTTTGCAGTCTATTATCAGCTAAGGACTTTAGTGACATTCACCTCACACGAAACTGTTAATTTAAGGATTAGTCCATTGTTCAGTTGTGACTGAGTGAAACTATTGCTCTAGATGGATATTCAACTTAACAGTCTCCATCGAAACACTGGTATATAAAAGAAATATGATTATGAGACTACTTTGTTACAAACCCTAGAGTTTGGTGGGGATTGTTGGATATATTATGGGCTTAGCCCGTATAATATTTAATAAATCAAATAAACTCTATAGTCGGTAACATTAAGCGTTGTATGGTTTAATACCGTATGGGATTTTGACTGAACGTTTACTCAGCTTATTTGGTTGGAAATTATCCATCTTAATTGAGAAGCTGAGAAAAGAACACAGGAGTGCCACACGCGCGCGCGCCGCCACCGTCACCACCGGCCGGGCCAGGCCGGGCCGTGGCCATGGGCATGGGCACGGGCCGGGCCAGGCCGTGGCCGTGGGCGTGGCGTGGCGAGGCAGGCAGGTGGGCGGTGAGCGAGCGGACATGGCCAGGTTTTGCCACTTAATCCACATAATCACGGGAGTTTCTCTCCTTTATGGTGGGGGCGAACTGATTGCGCTAGTTACCGTCTCTTCGTGCCTCCGTCTCCTGGGTTCCTTCGCTGTCTTTCTCTCTCCCCGTCGTAGCCATAACTCTGAAGTCCTCTGTCAGTCTAGATCTTATTTTTCGCTTCCGAGAGACGACATCTCAGCTGTCCTTTGGCTTTTCCCGTCCCGTACCTCTGCACGCACGGAGTAGCGGGAGAGCAGGTGCCTCCGGAACCCTCGTCCGCATGCGAACCTTGCACGGGGTGTGCGGCGATTAGGTTTTTGGGGAGCGATTCCGCGACTGCTCGTCCGACGTCTTCTTCCTAGTGATCGCTCGCGGAACCTGTCTTCTTCCTGGTGACTGTTCGTGGGACTGCACTGCGAACATCTTCCTGTATCGACTGTGGTCCACGACTTCGAGCAACGCACTATGTCTGGTACGAATGGAGCCTCCGATGCCCTTGGCATGGGACCCTCCGCTGGGTACACTCTTATCTCTGTGATTACAGTACTCTGCGTACTTACTGTATCGATCAGTATATCATTTTTACATGCGTTTGTTAGAGATATACACATACACATATATGTTGTCACAAACCTGCTGATGTTTTATTTCTGAATTAAATTGACCAAGAAAATGCCTAATTACCTAACAGGATGCTGGTAGGAGAATTGGAACGCCAGGGAGAGGAACAGGAGAACCTTGCTGAAAGCGATGCCCTAGGTTAGATTAGATGGGTTCTCAGAAAACAAACGTCAAACACCAGAATTATGTAGATTTTATTTAAAATAATAGATTTATCTTTTTTTTCCTTTTTTATCTTTAATAATGGTAGAGCTGGGTAATTTTCTTAAAAATAAAATAGATCTAATGGCTACAGATCGTGAGATCCTATAGATTTAATGGTTAGATATTTGTGATTAATGTGATAACTTATAACATTTATCCTTTTTTTCTAAAGCGTCTGGTGAGAGTTAACGTGGAGGCTCCGTTGAGGCCTCCAATTAGTAATACAAATGGATTTATTTTTTTCCTTTTTTATCTATAATAATGGCAGAGGAGGGTAATTTTCTTGAAAATAAAATAGATCTAATGATTACATATTGTGAGAGCCTATAGATTCAATGGTTAGATGTTTCTGATTAATATGAGAATTTATAGCATTTATCTTTTTTCCGCGTCTGGTGATAATTAACGTGGAGGCTCTGTAGGGACCTCCAAATAGTAATAGTAAGATATAGAAGGAAGTTGTTGTTTTTTTCATAGTGACCGGGTGGTAATTTAGGTACAAATTGGGGGTTTTGTTTATAATGACACATATGGGTATTTATATATGCATATTTTTCATCTTAATTGACTAATTTTCAGTCACTGGGTACAACACCACGTGGTTAAAAAGTGGGCAGCTAATGTTTAGTTGGATATATAGCCTGGGGCTAAACTTTAGTTGGATCCACACAGGCATAAGATTCTTTCATGCCAGGGCAACGCAAGCTACACGCCTTTTATTTTGGGCCAGGATTATTACGCGACGATCAAATGGCGAATGAGTTGTGCAGCAGCACTTGCAGTTTAGAAGGAAATAGATGATGCGCCTTCTCCCTGCGTCGTTCCAGATTGCTAGGCCAATGATTGAAAACAAAAGGCGGCACCGTATTGGCAAATGGCAAAAGGCTACAGGATTGTTTATCTATTTACTCGCTGGTTGTTGGCCTAATCCGTGGTGTAAGGCCTATCAATCTCAATGCCACAGCTGAAGACAAAGAGCACTACTGGTTCTGCTTGTTGTTTGCTGGTGACAATCAATCAAGCAAGCTGTCACGCACAAAACTCGACCGAGAAGCCAACGAAGCATACTTGTGCTCGAGACTTTGTCTGCTTTCCTTGTCTACCCTGTCAGTTCTATGCATATCATTTCTCTTCAGCATTTTGTCGGGATCGGAGAAATCTGAAATGTGCAGTGCAGGCCAAAAGTAAGGACAAAGGTGCCGACAAGGCCTGGGGTGGCCCACGCGTCGTCGATTGGTGGTGCCCAAAGACGAATCGCCTCTGCGTGCGCGGCCTCGGCTTGGTTTGAAGACGCCGCCGCACCTCCTCCTCCTCCTCCTTCTTCTTCTTCTCCTCCTCCTCCGTCACAGAAATTCTCCTCTCTCTCGGCAGCCACCACTGGCGAGGTGACGGAGCTTCGGGCGTATCCGATCCGCATGGCGGACAAGGAGGTAAGAGGAGAGCACCCAGCACCCAATGATACGAATCCTGACGCTTGCTCGTTTTGTGTCGTGTCCTTGCTGTTAATCTTGCAGTTTTAATTTGCTTGCGTGATGGGTCTTGTTGATTTCTCTCTGCTCGGAAGAAAAGAAATGTTCGGCCCTGTTACTACCACCGCTGTAAGATAATGAACACGTGCAGCTCTAGTGATTTCTTCTTCTTCTTTTGTTATCACTTCCTTTCTCTTGTTGGGAGCAGCAGAGTCGGCTTTTACCACGGCCAATATTTCAAAACAGAGTTGAGAGGCCAACAAAACTGGTCTTCGTCTCCTGATTTGAGAATACATGCCCCTTTAGAACATGTATTAGACCGTACGTCTCCAATGGTTGGAACTACCTGCTAGATTTAAGGTCTATGTGTTGTATCGACCTTAACAAGAATTATCGTAAAACATCACTTCCGCCATGGCCTAACTTACTTCCAATAGCACTGCGTTTACAACCATCTATTTAATCCTTGTATCGCATCGCAGATCACCATGGTCGTCAAGGTTGACCTTGAATGTGAGAGATGCAACAAGAAGATCAGAAGGGTCCTCCACAAGATCAAAGGTACAGTATTGTAGCAATAGAGACAATTTGCCACGAACAATGTCGTTGCAATAGTCTGTATTGTCATGCTAGAATTTTCTTGCCTAAGGTGTTATTGCCATGACCGTTATGCCGTGGCAAGTACACCATTTGCCACGCAATTTCATTCATTGCGAGAGATCCTATGTTATTGCCACAGTCGTTCTGCCATGGCAATAGTATCATTTGCCATGTAATTTTATTCGTTGCCATAGATCACATTGCCACGCAAGTGAGTTCATTGCCATATATCATATTGCCACGCATAGCAGCTCGTTGGCATAGTTTGTATTATAACGATGGTAGCATTTGAATTGTCGTTTAATAAATCATCATTGCAAAAACCAATAAACCATAATAAAAGCGATTGCACTCACATATATTACTTATAACCAATCATTCAATAAGTTGACAAAGCATTGAAATAGTAGCTAAACTCATAAACGAGTGTACAGTTCACTCATTATTTCACAACTTCTTAAAACTTGCAGCAATACAAGAGTTCCTAACATCTATGCAGCACCTCAAGGTTTTCCTAGCAGCAACATGTGATCACCTTGGCAATGTCCTCATTTGATTATCAGCCTCCCACTTAAACCTTGTCCACCTACTGACCAAAAGAATAAGATTGGGATATTAGAAAAATATTAGGTTTACTGTGTCATGCACAAACTGTAAAGAGATTCAGATAGAACATGATTGTAATTAAGCAAAAGACGAATTAATCAAAACTATGGAAGGAGTGCTGTCAATTTAATTAAGCAAAAGTAGAACTAAAAATTAAGAAATGCTATAGATACAACCATTTTGCTGTCAAAGTATCTTAATTTTTAAGGCAACATTAGTACAGTTGCTTAGAAAAATCATAACTACAGTTCTAGACAACGAAAATGTATGTCATTTTTTGCTTTTCTTATTCGTACATAGCTTTTGCTACGCACCTAGATATGCATTATGTTTAGATACATTGTACAAACTATGTATCTAAAAAAAGTCAGAACGACTTAAAATTTGGAACAGAGGGAATATATACTTTGTGGAATTTCATAACGTGATTTAGTTCATTCGTGTTCTTATAATTGGAAGCCATTAATAAATAGGTTAAGGTCTGTTTGGCCCCATTGTGATAATAATAATTAGCTAAAAGAATTCATTATGACCCAAATAGCTAGTTTATGGATGGATTATTTTAATCAAAACACCATATTACAATAATCCTATAATCTATGGGAGACCTACTTTTTGGAGATTATGTATATGGACAATGTCACCCTAAATTTAGGGGAGGGGTAGGATTAGTTTACCACTAAATATAGGATGTTAGATAGAGGAACGGTTGGAGATCAGGGTGTTTTTTTTTATGACATAGACCTTAATTTTGACTTTAGGTTGGATAGGAAACTCTTGGAGATGCCCTACCTGCTCTCTTGGTTCTAGGATTGGCTTGGACTACTGGTTTGCCCGCGAATCAGAAAGCACTTTCTTCCTAGGCTGTCTAATTCTAAGTGATTATATATTAACTTATGGATAACTTATAGGTAGGGCCTTTTTCTTTTCCCCAAAACTAAATAAGTAGGAAATTGAATACTTACATTGTTTACGTAGAGATACATGGATGAATTCCGTACCTTGATGACAGGCGCCTTGTAGTTGTACACTCATTTCTCGGTCTAACCTTGGTCGCAATTTGCCATTGGTGCATCTTGCTGATCTTGGAGGTCGTCAGGTCAATACATAGCCAGGGATGTAATCTTCATATCAAGCATCTTAGTTTCTGCAGTAACGATCAACCACGAGGAGGCAATGCATGGAAAATGATTCATCCAGTAGCCACCGCGTGCCACCATGCGGAGATGTACACATGTACCCCATTAGGATGTACTTTCTCCTGCACCTTGCAGTTGGGGACCTTGCCACCACCCATGAGATAGATTTCTTCTGGCACACTATGATGAGAGTGCATGGCTGTGTGTGGCCTCCCAGCGCAGGCACACAGGACATATCATATCTTTGCGCCTGTTAATTGCAATGGCCGGCCTCATGCGGAGTTGCGGATGACGATGATGCTCCACATGCCTCACTGCACACAGATATAGATGATAGACTATGGCGGCCATAGGCTGAAAGCGATGCCCTAGGTTAGATTAAAAGGGTTCTCAGAAAACAAACGTCAAACACAGAATTATGTAGATTTTATTTAAAATAATGGATTTATCTTTTTCCTTTTTATCTCTAATAATGGCATAGGTTGGTAATTTTTTTTAAAATAAAATAGATCTAATGGTTACAGATCGTGAGAGCCTATAGATTTAATGGTTAGATGTTTGTGATTAATGTGAGAATTTATAGCATTTATCCTTTTTCTAGAGCGTCTGGTGAGAGTTAACGTGGAGGCTCCGTTGGGGCCTCCAATTAGTAATACAAATGGATTTATTTGTTTTCCTTTTTATCTATAATAATGGTAGAGGTGGGTAATTTTCTTGAAAATAAAATAGATCTAATGATTACAGATTGTGAGAGCCTATAGATTTAATGGCTAGATGTTTCTGATTAATATGAGAATTTATAGCATTTATCTTTTTTTCCTCTAGCGTCTAGTGAGAATTAACGTGAGGCTCCGTTGGAGCCTCAAGATACAGAAGTAAGTTGTAGTTTTTTCATAGTGATCGGGTGGTAATTTAGGTACAAATTGGGGGGGGTGATAATGACACATATGGGTATTTATATATGCATTTAGGGTGGTATTTTTCATCTTGCTTGACTAATTTTCAGTCACTGGGTACAACACCACATGGTTAAAAAGTGGGCAGCTAATGTTTAGTTGGATATATAGCCTGGGGCTAAACTTTAGTTGGATCCACACAGGCCTAAGATTCTTTCATGCCAGGGCAACGCAAGCTACACGCCTTTTATTTTGGGCCAGGATCAGTACGCGACGATCAAATGGCGAATGAGTTGTGCAGCAGCACTTGCAGTTTGGGAGGAAATAGATGATGCGCCTTCTCCCTGCGTCGTTCCAGATTGCTAGGTCAATGATTGAAAATAAAAGGCGGCACCGTATTGGCAAATGGCAAAAGGCTACAGGATTGTTTATCTATTTACTCGCTGGTTGTTGGCCGAATCCGTGGTGTAAGGCCTATCAATCTCAATGCCACAGCTGAAGACAAAGAGCACTACTAGTTCTGCTTGTTGTTTGCTGGTGACAATCAATCAAGCAAGCTGTCACGCACAAAACTTGATCGAGAAGCCAACGAAGCATACTTGTGCTCGAGACTTTGTTTGCTTTCCTTGTCTACCCTGTCAGTTCTATGCATATCATTTCTCTTCAGCATTTTGTCGGGATCGGAGAAATCTGAAATGCCCAGTGCAGGCCAAAAGTAAGGACAAAGGGGCCGACAAGGCCTGGGGTGGCCCACGCGTCGTCGATTGGTGGTGCCCCAAGACGAATCGCCTCTGCCTGCGCGACCTCGGCTTGGTTTGAAGAGGCCGCCGCACCTCCTCCTCCTCCTCCTTCTTCTTCTCCTCCTCCTCCGTCACAGAAATTCTCCTCTCTCTCGGCAGCCACCACTGGCGAGGTGACGGAGCTTCGGGCGTATCCGATCCGCATGGCGGACGAGGTAAGAGGAGAGCACCCAGCACCCAATGATACGAATCCTGACTTTTGCTCGTTTTGTGTCGTGTCCTTGCTGTTAATCTTGCAGTTTTAATTTGCTTGCGTGATGGGTCTTGTTGATTTCTCTCTGCTCGGAAGAAAAGAAATGTTCGGCCCTGTTACTACGACCGATGTAAGATAAGGAACACGTGCAGCTCTAGTGATTTCTTCTTCTTTTGTTATCACTTCCTTTCTCTTGTTGGGAGCAGCAGAGTCGGCTTTTACCACGGCAAATAGTTCAAAACAGAGTTGAGAGGCCAATAAAACTGGTCTTCGTCTCCTGATTTGAGAATACATGCCCCTTTAGAACATGTATTAGACCGTCCGTCTCCAATGGTTGGAACTACCTGCTAGATTTAAGGTCTATGTGTTGTATCGACCTTAACAAGAACTATCGTAAAACATCATATATTCAGTCATTCACCAATGCAAACGCCTCTATCTGCAGTCTCATAATGCCAATCTCTGCCATCACATGGCAGCATGAGCACGAATCCCCTCCCCACTTGTTGGGCTTAATTACCTGTCAGTCGCTTTTACAACTGTTTCGCAGTTCCATCTGTGCTGATGATCATTGTTGATTGTGATTGACTGGGTTGCGCAGACAAGATGAACATCAATACTATCTCGTTTGATGAAAAGAGGAATGTCGTGACCATCTCTGGCCCGTTCGACGCCGAGAAGGTCCGTCGTAAGCTCTGCTGCGAGGCTGGCCGGATCATCAAGGGTATGGACGTCAAAGCGCCCGAGGAGAAGAAGACCGAGGAGAAGAAGGACGGACGCATGGAAAAGGAGGAGGACGGAAGAAAGATTGCTGCGGCGCCCGCGGTGAACCTCCGCCCGCTGCTGGAGAAGATGTTGGAGCGCCCCAAGGCCAGGACCCAGCCGCCCGCCTGCACCTGCTGCTGCGGCTGCAGCTGCGGCCAGCAGACCACGCAGCCGCCAGCAGCTCAGGTCGTCGTGGCCGAGCCGTCCGTATGGCCGGCGCCGGCCAGCTCCGTCTCCGGCCATGGCAACGAGGCCCCGTCGTCGTACTACGGCGTGCCGGTGTACAGCATCGAGGGGTGGTAATAATGAGGCGGCGACGGGCGGCTGCCGCACTACCACCACCAGCTGCAGCGGTGCTGCGAGGAGGACCCCCGACGGCGATGGCCATGGGCCATCGACAGTGACAGTACCATGGCCAGTGCTGAACGGAAAGAACAAAAAGAGCGATCAGAAACTCTTATTTGATTATGAGTTGTCGCGTGTGGTTGTTTATGCATGTCTGCGGTTTTCAATTTGCTTGTGCCTTATCCCACAGTGCAAGCCAGTTATTAGCTCTTGATGACCTCATATTTTTTTTTTATCCCTTGACGCCTTCTTCTGATCAAGACAGCCTGTAATCTCCTGCTCCTGGCCATGCCGGTACATATGTGTCTGAAAGATGCTGTTTGCTGCAGTAAAATGCTGGGTCCATCTTAATCTTCTGATTCTGGATCGAGATCATGTGTTGATTGTGACAGTACTATATATTCGTCTGTTGGCCATGGAATCTGCAAACTAGCTGGTATGCTGCAGATTAGAATTTATAGCCAACTAGCTCATCAGCACGGACTAACAATCTTAAATAAAATATAGGAAAGCCACAAGTGTATGGACAGTCGAGTAAATCCTTTATCCCTGTCTTTTCAATTTTCGACGGGACTTGATCTGAACATTTTTTAACATAAATGGCAGGAGTTCTGCATTTCAATTAAGATAGAAGGAGAAATGTACAAAGTACAAGACCGTGGCCTTAAGGCCAAAGAGGGGACTTGATCTGAACATGCAACATGGCTGTCATGCTAATTATTATGCTCTCAATGTGATGAAGGTGACTAGACTAGTAATAGTGGCTCTTTACCACAATATATATATATATATATATATATATATATATATATATATATATATATATATATATATATATATATATATATATATATATATATATATATATATCATCGCACTGGTATGCATGTGAAAGTACATATATGCCTGTAGCCTCACCAGAAATGTGCTCCAGAGTTGGTTAACCACATACTGTAGTGAAAACCATGCTTAGATCCAGAAACCCTTTGTGTTTAAGGAACACACCGAGCTCCATCCAAACTTTGCTGCTTAATTTGGTGTCTCCCCTTATTAGTGTAGGTTTTTCAGAGGCAGAGACATCAGGTATGATCCCAGTAGCACCGAGATAGACACATGCATAACTAAAAGGATCTGTGTAATTACAACCATAGGTGAGCAGAAGGCAAGAAGCTTGATTTCCATGCATGCTCCGTCTAGAACTAACTCTTCCACACTATGTGGTCTGCCGTGTCGGTCCTATACCTGCAATGACTGTAGTCATCCCAATAAAGGAAGTTATTGTTGAGCGAAAAATTATCGATGGATGAAAAGTGGCTGATGTGTATTCTCTAATGAACAGTGTTTGTAGATAGGTGGTTTGCCTGTTGGCGAAAAGGTGCCTTTCTATGCCTATTTTGGAACTGTCATTAGCAGTTGCTAATGACGAGATTAACATAAATTGATCACTAAATAATAAATTTTAACACTCCTCCTCGATCAATTGGTTCCTTGTAGGCATCATTGTGTATTCATCAATCATCATTTTGAAGCTTGGAAAAACCACATGGGAAAAACCAAAGAGTATCGATATACCGTGTAAAACTCCTTAAAACCCTATGGGAAAAATAAGGAGAAACACCATGATATATATAACTCCCAATGTTAATAGACCCTTTAGGTGGCCCCAAAGACATAGTCTAAAAACAATTTGATCAACGATCAATATGTCATAAATATTATCTTCGAAAAACCACTGTAGGGAAAAATAGATAATATGACATCTACTATGTGTTGACATCGCGTCATTAAAAACTTTATACGAGAAATCTCCAGAAGAGTAAAACTCACATAAAGAAAAGAGTGCAATGTGATGTCTGAATACAGGTTATGATTTAGAGAGATTCTCCCCTTGATTCTTGCAAGTCCATAAGCCTTCTCATACCAATTCCTTCAACACATTAATGGAATGTGGAGTATGGTAGAAACTTTGTGAACAAATCCGCAAGATTATCACAAGACTTAGTTTGCAAGATTTCAATTTCTCCATTCTTTTGTAGTTCATGGGGATAGAACAATTTAGGATTAATATGTTTCGTCATATTACTCTTAATATAACTTGATTCCATCTGCACAACACATGCCGCATTATCTTCAAAGGTAATGGTTGGTGTCTCAAGTGCACCAATACCACATGATTGCATTATGTGGTTTGTCATTCTGCGAAGCCATACGCACTTACATGATGCTTCGTATAAAGCAATTATTTCAGAATGATTGGTGGAAGTAGACACTAAAGTCTGCTTTGAAGACTTCCAAGATATTGCTGTTCCACCTTGCCAGAATACAAAGCCTATTTGTGATCTACCATTGTGGGGATCTGATAAATAGCCAACATCTTTATACCCTAACAAAATTGGATCTTGATTTCTGCTATAGAATAATACAAGATCTCTTGTGCCATTGAGATATCTCAAAACAGTTTTAACTCCTATGCAATGACGATTGGTAGGAGCAGCATTGTGTCTTGCTAGCAAGTTTACTGCGAATGCAATATCCGGCAGGGTGCTATTAGCAAGATACATTAGTGCTCCAACGGCACTAAGATATGGGACATGTGGCCCCCAATATCTCTTCTCCTTCTTCCCGTGGTCTAAAAGGATCCTTTTCAACATCTAAGGATCTCACTACCATTGGGGTTTTTGTTGGATATGACTTGTCCATATTGAATTTCTCCAATACTTTCTGGACATAGGCAGCTTGGTATATAAATATACTAGAACGAAAATGCTCATGATGTAAACCCAAGAAGAATTTGGTTTGACCCAAATCTTTCATTTCAAACTCCGTCTTTAAATGATGACATTGCAAAAGGCCCAATTTGGTTGTAAAAGGTAGATGTTCCAAAAAAATCACGTTCGTTGCCAATGGTAGCAAAAAGTCACGTTGCAATAATGTATTGCAAGTGTTTCTAGTTTGGTGTTGCAAGTGTTGGTGTTTCTTGCAACCATAGGTGTCTGTTGCCAAGCATGGCAATAGGACATTGACGCAACATTCACGGTCGTGTCAATATAAGCACATGCCACGTCCGTCTTCGTAGCAAGAGGTGGTACATGCAACGATCGATAGCGTAGCAATAGAGACAATTTGCCACGAACAATGTCGTTGCAATAGTCTGTATTGCCACGCTAGAATTTTGTTGTCTAAGGTGTTATTGCCATGACCGTTATGCCATGGCAAGTACACCATTTGCCACGCAATTTCATTCGTTGCGAGAGATCATACGTTATTGCCACGGTCGTTCTGCCATGGCAATAGTATCATTTGCCACGTAATTTTATTCGTTGCCATAGATCACATTGCCACGCAAGTGAGTTCATTGCCATATATCATATTGCCATGCACAGCAGCTCGTTGGCATAGTTTGTATTACAACGCTGGTAGCATTTGAATTGTGGTTTAATAAATCATCATTGCAAAAAACAATAAACCATAATAAAAGCGATTGCACTCACATATATTACTTATAACCAATCATTCAATAAGTTGACAAAGCATTGAAATAGTAGCTAAACTCATAAGCGAGTGTACAGTTCACTCATTATTTCACAACTTCTTAAAACTTGCGGGAATACAAGAGTTCCTAACATCTATGCAGCACCTCGAGGTTTTCCTAGCAGCAACATGTGATCACCTTGGCAATGTCCTCGTTTGATTATCAGCCTCCCACTTAAACCTTGTCCACCTACTGACCAAAAAGAATAAGATTGGGATATTAGAAAATATTAGGTTTACTATGTCATGCACAAACTGTAAAGAGATTCAGATAGAACATGATTGTAATTAAGCAAAAGAAGAATTAATCAAAACTATGGAAGGAGTGCTGTCAATTTAATTAAGCAAAAGTAGAACTAAAAATTAAGAAATGCTATAGATACAACCATTTTGCTGTCAAAGTATCTTAATTTTTAAGGCAACATTAGTACAGTTGCTTAGAAAAATCATAACTACAGTTCTAGACAACGAAAATGTATGTCATTTTTTGCTTTTCTTATTCAGTACATAGCTTTTTGCTACGCACCTAGATATGCATTATGTTTAGATACATTGTACAAACTATGTATCTAAAAAAAGTCGAAACGACTTAAAATTTGGAACAGAGGAATATATACTTTGTGGAATTTCATAACGTGATTTAGTTCATTCGTGTTCTTATAATTGGAAGCCATTAATAAATAGGTTAAGGTCTGTTTGGCCCCATTGTGATAATAATAATTAGCTAAAAGAATTCATTATGACCCAAATAGCTAGTTTATGGATGGATTATTTTAATCAAAACACCATATTACAATAATCCTATAATCTATGGGAGACCTACTTTTTGGAGATTATGTATATGGACAATGTCACCCTAAATTTAGGGGAGGGGTAGGATTAGTTTACCACTAAATATAGGATGTTAGATAGAGGAACGGTTGGAGATCAGGGTGTTTTTTTTTATGACATAGACCTTAATTTTGACTTTAGGTTGGATAGGAAACTCTTGGAGATGCCCTACCTGCTCTCTTGGTTCTAGGATTGGCATGGACTACTGGTTTGCCCGCGAATCAGAAAGCACTTTCTTCCTAGGCTGTCTAATTCTAAGTGATTATATATTAACTTATGGATAACTTATAGGTAGGGCCTTTTTCTTTTCCCCAAAACTAAATAAGTAGGAAATTGAATACTTACATTGTTTACGTAGAGATACATGGATGAATTCCGTACCTTGATGACAGGCGCCTTGTAGTTGTACACTCATTTCTCGGTCTAACCTTGGTCGCAATTTGCCATTGGTGCATCTTGCTGATCTTGGAGGTCGTCAGGTCAATACATAGCCAGGGATGCAATCTTCATATCAAGCATCTTAGTTTCTGCAGTAACGATCAACCACGAGGAGGCAATGCATGGAAAATGATTCATCCAGTAGCCACCGCGTGCCACCATGCGGAGATGTACACACATGTACCCCATTAGGATGTACTTTCTCCTGCACCTTGCAGTTGGGGACCTTGCCACCACCCATGAGATAGATTTCTTCTGGCACACTATGATGAGAGTGCATGGCTGTGTGTGGCCTCCCAGCGCAGGCACACAGGACATATCATATCTTTGCGCCTGTTAATTGCAATGGCCGGCCTCATGCGGAGTTGCGGATGACGATGATGCTCCACATGCCTCACTGCACACAGATATAGATGATAGACCATGGCGGCCATAGGCTGAAAGCGATGCCCTAGGTTAGATTAAAAGGGTTCTCAGAAAACAAACGTCAAACACCAGAATTATGTAGATTTTATTTAAAATAATGGATTTATCTTTTTTCCTTTTTTATCTCTAATAATGGCATAGGTTGGTAATTTTTTTTAAAATAAAATAGATCTAATGGTTACAGATCGTGAGAGCCTATAGATTTAATGGTTAGATGTTTGTGATTAATGTGAGAATTTATAGCATTTATCCTTTTTTCTAGAGCGTCTGGTGAGAGTTAACGTGGAGGCTCCGTTGGGGCCTCCAATTAGTAATACAAATGGATTTATTTGTTTTCCTTTTTTATCTATAATAATGGTAGAGGTGGGTAATTTTCTTGAAAATAAAATAGATCTAATGATTACAAATTGTGAGAGCCTATAGATTTAATGGCTAGATGTTTCTGATTAATATGAGAATTTATAGCATTTATCTTTTTTCCTAGCGCGTCTAGTGAGAATTAACGTGGAGGCTCCGTTGGAGCCTCAAGCTACAGAAGTAAGTTGTAGTTTTTTTCATAGTGATCGGGTGGTAATTTAGGTACAAATTGGGGGGGTTGATAATGACACATATGGGTATCTATATATGCATTTAGGGTGGTATTTTTCATCTTGCTTGACTAATTTTCAGTCACTGGGTACAACACCACATGGTTAAAAAGTGGGCAGCTAATGTTTAGTTGGATATATAGCCTGGGGCTAAACTTTAGTTGGATCCACACAGGCCTAAGATTCTTTCATGCCAGGGCAACGCAAGCTACACGCCTTTTATTTTGGGCCAGGATCAGTACGCGACGATCAAATGGCGAATGAGTTGTGCAGCAGCACTTGCAGTTTGGAAGGAAATAGATGATGCGCCTTGTCCCTGCGTCGTTCCAGATTGCTAGGCCAATGATTGAAAACAAAAGGCGGTACCGCATTGGCAAATGGCAAAAGGCTACAGGATTGTTTATCTATTTACTCGCTGGTTGTTGGCCTAATCCGTGGTGTAAGGCCTATCAATCTCAATGCCACAGAAGACAAAGAGCACTACTGGTTCTGCTTGTTGTTTGCTGGTGACAATCAATCAAGCAAGCTGTCACGCACAAAACTCGATCGAGAAGCCAACGAAGCATACTTGTGCTCGAGACTTTGTCTGCTTTCCTTTTCTACCCTATCAGTTCTATGCATATCATTTCTCTTCAGCATTTTGTCCCCAAGACGATTCGCCTCTGCGTGCGCGACCTCGGCTTGGTTTGAAGACGCCGCCGCACCTCCTCCTCCTCCTTCTTCTTCTGCTTCTCCTCCTCCTCCATCACAGAAATTCGGTCCTGTTACTACCACCGCTGTAAGATAAGGAACACGTGCAGCCCTAGGGATTTCTTCTTCGTCTTTTGTTATCACTTCCTTTCTCTTGTTGGGAGCAGCAGAGTCGGCTTTTACCACGGCCAATAGTTCGAAACAGAGTTGAGAGGCCAACAAAACTGGTCTTCGTCTCCTGAATCCTGATTTGAGAAGACATGCCCCTTTAGAACATGTGTTAGACCGTCCGTCTCCAATGGTTGGTACTACCTGCTAGATTTAAGGTCTATGTGCTGTATCGACCTTAACAAGAACTATCGTAAAACATCACTTCCGCCATGGCCTAACTTACTTCCAATAGCACTGCGTTTACAACCATCTATTTAATCCTTGTATTGCATCGCAGATCACCATGGTCGTCAAGGTTAACCTTGAATGCGAGAGATGCAACAAGAAGATCAGAAGGGTCCTGCACAAGATGAAAGGTACAGTATTGTAGTATAAGGTGGTGTTTGGTTGCCCCTCCTAAATTTTAGTTGATGTCCTATCGAATGTTTGGACACATACATGGAATATTAAATATAGACTAATTACGAAACTAATTGCATAGTTTACGACTAATTTGCGAGACGAATCTTTTAAGCCTAATTAGTCCATGATTTGATAATGTGGTGCTACAGTAACATGTGTGGCGGATTAATTAGGCTTAAAAAATTCGTCTCGTGGAGTACTGACGGATTATGTAATTTATTTTTTTATTAGTATTCGAACACCCCATGTAACATCCTCCCGACACACCTCCTAAATTTTAGTCACTGGATCCAAACTTCAACTAACCCTTGCCACCATATTCAGTCATTCTCCAATGCAAACGCCTCTATCTGCAGTCTGATAATGCCAATCTGCCATCACATGGCTGCATCAGCACCAATCCCCTCCCCACTTGTTGGGCTTAATTACCTGTCAGTCGCTTTTACAACTGTTTAGCAGTTCCATCTGTGCTGGTGATCATTGTTGATTGTGATTGACTGGGTTGCGCAGACAAGACGAAAGTCAATACTATCTCGTTTGATGAAAAGAGGAATCTCGTGACCATCTCTGGCCCGTTCGACGCCGAGAAGGTCCGTCGGAAGCTCTGCTGCGAGGCTGGCCGGATCATCAAGGGTATGGACGTCAAAGCGCCCGAGGAGAAGAAGACCGAGGAGAAGAAGGACGGACGCATGGGAAAGGAGGAGGACGGAAGAAAGACTGCTGCGGCGCCCGCGGTCAACCTCCGCCCGCTGCTGGAGAAGATGTTGGAGCGCCCCAAGGCCAGGACCCAGCCGCCCGCCTGCACCTGCTGCTGCGGCTGCAGCTGCGGCCAGCAGACCACGCAGCCGCCAGCAGCTCAGGTCGTCGTGGCCGCGCCGTCCGTCTGGCCCGCGCCGGCCAGCTCCGTCTCCGGCCATGGGTACGAGGCGCCGTCATACTACGGCGTGCCGGTGTACATCATCGAGGGGTGGTAATTGTTGGCCCACCGGATCTCCGGTTCACGTATGTGAACTACTCACCAGTCTTACCGATCACCTGCTAGTGTTGCTGAGCACCCATTAGCCGTGCCGACCACGAATAGGCATTGTCCGTCCTCACACATTATGGCTAGAGCTTTAAGAAGAAGGGAGAACATAGCATGCACGTACAATACAAGACACTAGCGTTGGCCGAAGCCCTGTCTGTGAGATGGTAAATCTGAACTTTCTTTACTGAATTACCGTGGTAGTTTATTTATACAACTCTATCCATCTAGTTCTAGTACAGCTGCCCTGCTGCAACAATGACTAGATAACATATAGGACTGACTCTGCGCCGTCCACTGCATGTGCCTACAGTGTTGTAGGTGAGCAGTTCGGCGCCTGCACCTGCAACGACTACTATATCACAGTAGGGGGCCTTTTCAGCGCTGCCTTCCCCTTGCTGTGTTCACACAAGGTAGAACTAGATTATCTAACAATCTTTCCCTAATCCTATTGCTAATCCTTGTACCCCTTCCATGCCGATCATCTCCTTCAGCTCCATGAGTCGAAGACGTCCGAGCGGCTTGGTGAGGACGTCCGCGAGTTGCCGACCAGTTTCGACAAACTCGATGATGATCTGCCTTCCATCGACACAGTCCCTGAGGAAGTGGAACTTCACCTCGATGTGTTTACTCCGGTCGTGCAGAACCGGATTCTTTGCGAGGGTGATGGCGGGCTGGTTGTCCACCATCAGTGCTGGTAGGTGAGCTTCCACGCCGGTCAGCTCGCCCAGCAGCCGGCGTAGCCACACAACTTGGCACGTCGCTATGGCCGCCGTTACGTACTCTGCCTCGCACGTTGATAGTGCCACCACCTTCTATTTCAGCGACAGCCATGAAATTGGGGCCGACCCGAGGAATACGAGCACCCCAGAGGTGCTCCGTCGTCCGTCGATGTCCCCTACCATGTCTACATTGCTGAACACAGTGAGCTGCAGCCTACTGTCGCCGGTCTTTGGGAAGATGATCCCATGATCTACCGTCCCCTTGACGTAGCCCAATTGCCGCTTCACCGCAGCCCAGTGATCCTCCATGAAGCGATTGACGTAGCCCACGGCGAACGCAATGTTCGGCCTCGTGTGGACTAGGTAGCGCAGACCGCCGACGATGCTCCGGTAGAGTGTTGCATCCACCTTCGCCGTGGTACTGGCCTTCGTCAGTTTCAGCCGCTCCTCCATTGGAGTCACGCATGGCTTGCACTTAGCCATGCCGCTCCTCTCCAATAGCTTGGAGGCATACGAGCTCTAACCGAGCATGAGTTCCTCCTTCCCCTGTCTCACCTCGATGCCGAGGTAGTAGGAGAGTGCGCCGAGATCGCTCATTCAAAAACGAGCTGTCATCTCGCGCTTGAAGCTGTTGATGTCCTCCGTGCGCGCGCCGGTGATGATTAAGTTATCCACATACACGCCGACGACGAGCTCCTCCTTCCCCATCGCCGCGTGTAGAGCGCGTGCTCGGTTGCGCACCGTTAAAACCCAAGCTCGCCCAGCGTGGCGTCAAGCTTGGCGTTCCATGCTCGAGGGGTCTACCGCAACCCGTAGAGCGTCTTGCGCAGTCGGAGCACCCTGTGCTCCTCTCCCTTGACGGCGAAACCTGGAGGTTGCCTGACGAAGACCGTCTAGGCTAGCTCACCGTTGAGGAAGGCTGATTTATCGTCCAAGTGATGGACGCGCCAGTCCTTTGCTACTGCCAAAGCAAGTAGCAAACGGACTAACTCCATGGGCGCTACCGGCGCATAGACCTCCTCGAAGTATATGCCCTCGCGCGGAACAAAGGCTTGGGCGACGAGGCGCGCCTTGTGCTTGACAATGGCACCGAACTCATCCCGTTTGACTTTGTATATCCACTTTAGGCTGATCGGACGACATCCTGGAGGTGGATCGACGAGCTGCCAAGTCTCATTTTCCTCGATCGCCTTCATCTCCTCCAGCATCGCCCGTCGCTAGTTTCCATCGCGCCCGGCAAGCACAAACGTGGGTGGTTCCTCAGCACTGACGAGTAGTAGCTCTGTGTCATTGAGCAGTCTACCCGTCAAGCCTGACGGACCTGTGCCGCCGACGATGTCGTCCAGCCTGCGGAACCGCACCTCCTCACCTTCGTGGAAGGCATCCACGAACTCAGTGATGTCACTTGGAGGTGAGGCGAACTCGATCGGCGTCAATGGAATTCCCTGTTCCGCCGGAGTGCTCGGTACATTACCTGAAGTGCTCGTCACCACAGGTTCAGTGCTTGGCACTACTTCTAGACTTCTCGTCATAACTCCTGCAGTGTTCGGCCACACTGTAGGAGTGCCCTGCCTCAGTCTTGGAGTGGTCGACACCACTTTAAGACGTCTTGGCTCCGCCACGGGAGTGCTCGACACCCGTCCTGGAGTGGTTGCCACCACTGCACAACCTCCCGGCACCACTCCTGGCGTGCACAGCATCTCTCCAGAAGTGCTCGACACTCCTCCCAGAGTGCTCGGCATCCCTCTCGATGTGCTCGGCACTGCCCCAGGAGTGCTTGGCTCTACCGCCAGAGTGCTCGGGACTCCTCCTGGAGTGCTCGGCACCTCTTCCCCAGCATCTTCACCACCGTGGATGACCAAGTGCTCGACGATGAATGTATTGGTGAAGCTACCAGCTTCCCCCCTTGCTCGGACTGCTCCAGTCCTAGGCCGCCTCCTCGTTGAATACGACGTCGCGCGAGACAAGCACCTTGTCTCCGCGTGGGTCGTGGAGCCGGGACGCCTTGGTACCCTCTGCATAGCCCAGGAACACCATGGGTATGCTCCTGTCCTGCAGCTTGGTGAGGTTCGGCTTCGTCTTCTTGACGTGGCCAATGCTACCGAATGTCCAGAGGAAGGACACGCTCGGCTTGCACCCATACCAAGCTTCGAACGGTGTCTTGACCGTCAGGGCCTTGGTCGGAGCGCGGTTGAGGATGAACACCGCCGTGGTCACCGCCTCACCCCAGAACCTTGCCAACATGCCTTTGGCCTTCATCATGGATCGGGCCATGCCGACCACCGTCTGGTTCTGTCGCTCCACCACGTCATTCTATTGTGGCGAGTACGGCATGGTGTGGTGTTGCCCCACACCCTGATCTGCGTAGTACGCAGCGAACTCCGCCGAAGTGAATTCGCCGCCGCGATCAGTCCTCAGCACACGGAGCTTCTTGCCGCTCTCGGCCTCCACACGCGTCTTCAACTTCTTGATCGCCGCCGCCGCTTCATCCTTGCTTGTCAGGAGTTGCAGCCACATGTAGCGACTGCAATCATCCATGAGCAGGAGGAAGTACCATCGACCACCGTTTGTAGTAGGCGTGATCGGCCCGCAGAGGTCGCCGTGGACGAGCTCGAGAGCGTCCTTCGCGCGATACTTGGCCGCCTTTGGGAAAGGTAGCCTCCTCTGCTTCCCGGCCAGGCAGCTGTCACACAACTCGCCTCCATGCTTGATGTGGGGTAGACCTCGGACCATCTTCTCTAGCCGACCAAGCGCGTCGAAGCTGAGATGTCCGAACCGGGCATGCCACGTCCATGGTTCCTCGTCGAAGCTGAGATGTCCGAACCGGGCATGCCACATCCATGGTTCCTCGGAGTGCATTGCCGCTAGGCACACCGGCTGCTCTACCATCAGGTCGAGCAGGTACAACCGGTTCAGGGACGTCTTCACCTTGGCAAGAAGTCGCTGCTCCCGGTCCCTGATTCTAAGGACTCCGTCCTTGATTAGTACCTTGCTACCACGCTCATCCAGCTGACCAATGCTGATGATGTTGGAACATAGCTGCGGGATGTAGTATACATCCGTTAGCGTGCGGTGCTCCCCGTTCTGGCACCTGAAGATGATGGTGCCGCGCCCTTGGATTGCCACCCTTGAGCCGTCACCAAACTTCACCGTACTGGTAACATCGTCGTCGAGCTCAGAGAAGGATTCCTTGGCGCCTGTCATGTGGTTACTAGCACTAGAGTCCAAATACCACCGCTGCACCTGGTCGGCGCCCACACGTCCAAGGTGGACTTGGGCGCGTGGTTCGTTGAGGTTGACGGTCTTCAGGGCCTTCACAGGTCCTTCCACCGTCGTCGCCTCTTCCCTCTCCTCGGCCTCAACGTCATGCAGTGCGTAGAACGTCACCATCAGGATAGTGGCCTCACCCTCATCATCGGCTTGCGCCAAGTGAGCCTGAGCCTTCTTCTCCTGCTTGCGGTTTGGGCACTCCCGTGTCCAATGGCCCATCTTCCCGCAACGCCGATAGGCGTTGGGGTCGACCTGCTTCTTCTCCGAAAAAAGCATTGTCGCGGCGCTTGCCATCGCCACCACGGTTGGAGGAGGCTGCCTTCCCGGAGTTCCTCCGAGCAGCCCAGTCCTCTTCCGTCAGCAGGAGATTCCCACTGCCCTTCGTTGCTGTCGCCTACTCCTGGCGCTCGTCCACCACCCATAGACGGCCTGTCACATCCTCAATGGTGAGGGTGGACAAGTCCAGCATCGTCTCTATGGAGAGAGTGATCTGGATGTACTTTGCCGGCACAGAGTGGAGGTACTTGAAGACCACCTCCTCTTCGTCGATGGTGACGTCGTGGCTCTTCAGCTTACTGATGAGCGTCTACAGGCGGAGGGAGAAGTCCTCCACCATTTCACCATCCTTGAACTTGAGGTTGGCGTACTCCTGCTTCAGAAGCTGGGTCGTCGCCTTCTTTGCGCTGTCAGAACCGACGTGCATCGCCGCAATAGCCTCCTATGCCTCCTTAGCCGAGCTCTTCGCCCCCAATGGCTCCCTGTACTCTGCCGGTACAGCAGCGAGGATAGCCTCCAGCGCTGACATGTCATCTTCTTCATTGTCGATGCCCTTGTCAACAGCATTCCAGAGTCGTTGGGCTCTGAGCTTGACCTTCATGGTCACCGACCACTCTACATAGTTGGTACGAATCAGCGTCGGCCAACTGGTGCCGCTGACCTCCCGCACCGTGCGAACAAC